TTTCATCTCTCCGTGCAACCCATCCACGCACTTCTGGATTCACCTGTCAGTCATTTCTCAAGCCCTCCCCTGAGTCAGGTTCTGTGTGAGTCCGTGCGTGGAAGGGTGGTCGGCGATGGCCCCCAGTGATGATCCACGTGTTTTCAGTACTCACTGAGTGCAGGTCGCTGAGCTCAGCACTCCAGACCCAAATCACGAGGCCTCATCACCACAGCCCTCTGCGGTGGGAAACCCCCGTTTTTCAGATGCGGAAAGTGAAACTTTGAGATGTAACTTGTCCAAACGAGCCAGGGCTGTCTGGTACCAAAGGGCTCCTAAAACTCCACTCTTTGGGTGATCAGAGCAAGGCAAGGGTGGAAAGGCAGAAGATGCTTTCGAATTCCATACAGGTGAGGCTTCTTTTTAAAAGCCCTGTGACATGAATGAAATGAGAGGACAGAAGACAGCTGTGAGGGTGACATGCCTGTGCAGGTCATTTAGCTATGGGTCTGGACTGCAGAGGGTGAAAGGGTAGAAGATATGAATGGCTACGGCCAAGAGTTTGAGTCACCAGAAAAGAAATAACCCATCTGTCTTGGAAGATTCTTGGCGATACGCATTATCGCCGAGTTGGGCACATCATCACATTACCGCAAAGACCAATATGTAGGATTTCCTACTTGTGAAATCTACCATCAAGAAAATAAGAGAACGCTCAGGCTGGTGTGGCTCAGTGGACTGAGCGCCGGCCTGCGAACCAAGGGTTTGCAGATTCGATTCCCAGTCAGGGCACGGACCTGGGTTGTCGTGGGCCAGGTTCCCTGTAGGGGGTGCGTGAGAGGCAACCACACAATGATATTTCTCTCCCTCTCCTTCTCCCTCCCTCCCCCTCTTTAAAATAAAATAAACAAACAAACACAACATTTAAAAAGAGGAAAGAAAACGTGAAACCATTCCCTTCTGAAGGATATTTGTCACTGATCTCTGATCACTCCAGCAAGTCTGGATTTCCATGGCACATATCTGCACAGCGCTAATGTGCTGCCTTTGCACTGCTCTTAGAAATGTCTCCCATGAAAAAATCCCAGCTCGGCTGTGCTGTATTTCCTTGAGGATGTCTCACTATTCATATGTAATCATCTCCTGCACCCCCGAGCAGAGCTGAGCACTCCGTAGTCCTCCAAATATAATTGCAGAATTGATTTGTTTTATTAGATGGGTTTCTTCTTGGGCTCCTATGGATGGTATGTGATACTTAGCACAGCATCCAGTAACTCTTACATGACTCTATTGGGTTGCACTTGAAGAGGAACATGTGTTTCATTTTTATCAGGGCTCCCGGTATACCGGGGCCAGTCACCCAGCTTTCTCAGCTGCAGCTTAACCATTTTTTAAAATTGCAGCAGATCTCAGCACTTCCTATTTGAACATCAGAAGACCATATCCGAACAAGTTTCTGTCCTAAGAGGCCCCTGTTTTGAAAGAAAGGTGACGTGGTGCCCCTTCGCTTATCCAGGTGGGAGGGCTGTCCCTCTCGGAAGAACACAGGACCAGACAAAGCTGCAGCACCAACTAAGTGTTCGTTATGTGAGTGACTTAGCCTGTGATTGGCCAAAGGCCCGGCAGTTTCCCACACACGCTTGGCCCACTTGGTTCCTGCGTCTTTGCCCACTGTGCTTCCTCCCGCCAGCAGTGACCTTTTCCCCTCTCCCTACAAGGGTTTGAGATCCTAGGTGCAGCCTCCGCGATTGGCGCACGCTTTGCCTGTTGCCGTTGTTGGCTTTCCTGCTCTACCTGTGGGCATCACTGATTGGTGGTCCCGGGCCCCTCCTACTGACGTTCTGCTTCTGAGGAAATGCACATACTGCGCTGTACAGCCTCTTGGGTCCTTTGAGCCTAACATAATGCCCTGAAGAAGGTATGCAATCAATACACTTTCGTTGCAAATTATGAACATTCATTTGACTTACCAGTATACGAAATACTTTTTAAAAGAGGGCTGAAAGTAGAAAAGAGAAGGAAATGAGGCGGGAATCTAAACCCTTACTTAACACAGAGAGGCACTCAAGTTCATTCAAGTGCATGCATGTCGTCTGTAAGTAGACTTGCTGATGGGTGTCATGGAGATAAAATTTGAGGGTAAATAGACAAAACTGCCGACTTAGGTCAGCCGACAAGCCCAGAATCTTGGAACAGGGTGGACAGCTGCTATGCCTTTGAACTCTGCCTCTTTACACCTTTTAAAGAAAAAAAATAATTAAGACAAACATTGGAGTTATTTCAGAAGGAGCTGAATGACGTGCTGATTCAGAGTTGTGAAGGGAGTTCATTAATCCCTGGAGTCTGTGTCTTTAGGAACCCCAAGAACGTGATGAAATTCAGGACAAAACAATGACTTCTGTGAATAGAAAGTGAGGCTTAAAAAACAAGGGGAGAGGACCCCTCGGCCTGAGGGAAAGGGGAAAGTGAGAAACAGGCACGTGAAGGTCATTCCAGCTTTAAGGCCAAAGCAGTTTTTCACTTCAGAGTTGATATTTTTTTTCTTTAAAACTTTGGTGACATGGATAGCCTTAGCAGAAAAAGGTTTTTTTTCATAAGATATCTTAAGGCCCAAATGATAAACTGATATCTTAACAGTTGCGGCAATTCTAGTTTCTACCCTGCCTACTCTTCCCTGAGAAGGCCAGCGAGGAAGAGCACAAGCATTGCATCTAACAGTATTTCTAGAATATTTCATTTGGTGAGGAAGATCCGAAATCATTTCTAAACTTTGCTGAAAATCTCTCACAGCCTGCCACTAAGCAGACGCTCTGTGGGCCTCACCCAGGGCCAGATGGCCATTGTCCAGCTTTGACCAGGCACCACAAAGGAGCTCAGTATGTTTGCCGAGGCCTGGAACATTCTGTTGAGGGAGGGTACCATGACCCGGGGGCTGGGAAAGTCAGAAACTCTCACGGACTTTTAAAAAATGCTGCCAACTTCGATAGTGGCCAGAGGATTTCAGATTTAGTTTTCAAAACCCAGGAAGAGAGTGGTTAAGGAGGGAGAGGAAGAGAGAACTGTGGCTAATGTCCTCCCAGACGGTGTCTGGCCAGACTTCCTTTGAAGATCATTGTGTATGAGACATTAAGGAACACACAGTTGTAGCTGCAGCAGCAAGAGCCACCTCAGGGACAACCCGCTGACTCAGGCAGGCACTGCCTTAAGGGTCAAAACCCAGGGGGAGATGTAGCTCTTTCCTTGTGGCCCCCGTGACGGAACAGTGGGAGAGACAAGGACACGTGCGACCACGTGAAGCGAGAGTACTGTGATGGTGTGCGTGGGGGGAAGTATGTCCCTCCGTGGCTGCCCCTGTGGGCTGTAGCAAGGTCCCAGAAAGCATGGTCTATGAAGTTCTATGCAGTTTTATATCCCCTGCACCCAGCGCCTTCTGGAACATCATGGGGTCACCATTAACTGTTGAAAGAACAAAACAATCTTGCAAATGCTGAGAATGAGGGGACAGTTGGGGAGCCCATCTGCACCTAGAGAATGCAGGAATTTTGCTACATCACTGTATTGCACTCCGACAGGTTTTATTATACCATTTCCACAAATTATACTCACATATTTCACAAAGACAGAGAAGAGGTTATAGAATGTGTAGAAGCTTTAGATCATGGAGGGATGGACTCCAACGTTTCAATTATGTTCTGGGGTGTGTTTGTGATAGGGGAGTACAGACATTATCTCCCCAGGAAGAATTCTGCCTCTATAAAGGGAGGAACTGAAAACCCTGAATGCAGTCTCGGGAAGCTCAGCTGTTCCATAAGCCCGGCTTTGGAACCCCAAGGTGGGGCTGGAAGGTAAGTGAGCGGCTACTTACAACAGTCTGTTCCTTCCGGTAGGCTGTGACCCCCCCCCCCCTTCCTCCCCACTGTACCTTTTAGGCAGTCAACTCCTGTCTAGTTTAAAAGAGTCTCCTGAGATCCTTAATCTTCCAGCAACCAATTCACCTATGGAATAATTTACATGAATAGTTTCAGGTAATGCTTCCTCCTGGGTGATCTACATCTTCTGGGAAAATAGAGAAGATGGATATAACACGTTCGTTTCCTCCTCCTGGGGACAGACACCCAAGAGCATTTGTCCCTGCAGTTGAGGCCTGCCTGGAGGGCGGGGTGGGGCCTGGGCTCTGCCAGGGCGTCCGGACTACGTGCCTCTCCTCTCCGTCTCCTTCCTGACTCCGAAAGGTCTCGGCTCCCGAGCATCGCCACCCACCGAAGCCCATTCTAAAGTTGTATTTATGCGATTCTCTGTGCAACATCCCACTCTAGCTACCGGGCGCAGGACAGTGCAGCACTGCCTGGGAGGTCCGGGGGCCCCACCCTGTCCCCGGTGCTGGCACACGGTAGGGGTACCGCCTCGGTGGTTTCGGGCGTCCGCGAGGCTGGCACACAGCAGGGACTGTTCCTCTGCTGTCTCGTAATGAACACAGATGCGGCGAGTCTGCAGCGTCCAAGGCAGGTGCTTGCGCAGCGCCCGCGGCTGCCGGCCTCTGCTCGGCCGGCGACACTCAGGGCTTCGCAGCCCGTGGACCCGGGAGTCAGGAGGGTGCGATTCTCCCAACTTCTGAGTGGAGGCCTGGTCGGGGTCGCGACTGCGCAGGGGGCGACTCAGAGCCTGCTTCTGGGGTTCGCTTCTCCGTGCCTGAGAGGCGAAGGAGTCCCGAGGAGGACGGCTTTCCCAGTAGGCGGGCCCAGGTAAGCTGTATTCCTCCTGAGACCTCAGCCACCTCCTGGGAAGGAGCCCGAGCCCCTAAGGTTCGCGCCGCTCCCGAGCACGGGGGCCTGGGAACGGCGCACCAGCTGCGCACGGAGCCCGCGAGCCTCCAGGACAGACGGAGCCAGCGCCCAATCGCGGGGCGGGGCCGAGGGGGCCTGCAGGCGGCGGCCAATGAGAGGTGGCGGCGCGGGCGGGGGGCGGAGCCTCCGGGCCGGCGGGCGGCGGCGTCCGGAGCCGGCGCAGCAGACCCGGAGCCCGGGAAGAGTCGGCGGAGCTCGAGGAGGACACGGACGGCGGCGGCGGAGGAGGAGCTGCGCCGCGCGCCCTCCGCGGCCGGCCGCCCGCCCGAGCGCAGGCCGACAGCTCCAGCGTAGCCGGCGGGTCCGGCCGCCTTCGCCCGGAGCCCGGCGCGGGCAGGGTCCGAGCCGATGGGCAGAGCGGGGCGGCGGGCGGCCAGGCTGCGGCCCCGGTAGTCGCCGCGCGCTCGCGGGCTGTAGCCGGTCCCGGCGGACCGCGTCTCCGAGGTGCGTGTGGGGCGAGCAGACGGGCCCCTGCGGGTGGTGTCTGGGGACCCGCTCGGCCGGGATTGTCCCTCGGTGAAGGGGCTGCCCCGGGGGGGGGGGCTGACGGCGGGGCTGCTTGGGGAGTGCGGGGGGCTCAGGCGCCGGGGTCCAGCCCGCTGACGCGCCCGCGCTCCCCAGCCCGGTGGAAGCGGAGCCGCCGCGGTTCGTTCTCTCAAAGTTGTGGATCGGCTGAAAGGTTATTTCCGTCTTGGTGACACGCACACTAATGAGGACCCCCTCTGGGTGTCGGCGACTCCTCTGCGACTGACCTCCGGGAAAAGATGAAAGGTTGCCCGAGGCGGTGAAGTGGCGCGCCGGGCGGGGCTGTTGCGGAACTTGCCGCGGGTGGCTCCCGGGGAGGTGGTGCCCAAGCCCCCGCCGCGCCGGAGCCCCCTTTGTAGGAGGACTCGGAGCGGCCGGCGACCCTCCGGCTCGGAGCGACCTTCCTTCGGAGTTAGATTCTCTGCCGCCGCCCCGGCGCGGAGGTTCGCAGCGTCCTCCGCTCTCGGTCCCGTTCGGTTCCCCGCGCTATCGGAGCTAGTTTGGCCGTGTCCCGGGAGGATCCCCAGGGGCACCTACCAAGAATTTTCTACCGTGCGGCAAACCCGGGGAATCAATTCCGGTTCGTCCTCTCGGAGCGCGAGCCGAGGCTCCTCGGGAAGGAAAACAAGTTGGCATTGCCCCTCTGGGAGGGATTTGTCATCATTAACCTGCTTCGGTTAAATTAATTCAGCCCGAGATGACTCCAGCTTGCGCACGGAAAACGTCAAGTGCACTGGGCACAGGATTGTGGCCACCGAGCAGGACTGGGGTTTAAAATAAAAATGCAGAGATTTTGGATTTTGCTCAGACTGAGACTTGGTTTGGATAAGGGTGGCTTTTTTCTTTCTTTCTTTCTTTCTTTTTTTTTTTTTAAACAAAGAACCTGGGCGATTCTCATAGGTTTGCTCAGTAAGTTCAAAATAGTCACTCAAATAATCTCTTTTTCTTTGCCTCTTTTGTCTGCAGTTTTCACTTCTAAATGTTAACACTAGATGGCTTTCTTATGACAGACATTTAGTGAACTGGGCTTCGCAGTCGCCTATTCTCAACCAGGTCTTAATGTTTTCAGTTTTCCAATTAGTAACGAGAGGGGCAAAAGTCCAGCACTCACTTTCCTTGACACATGTTACTTCCCTATAAATCAGTATTTACTTAGTTATCAAAAGGTGGCCCATTATTTCTGCTCTCCTAAAGATGAATTTTAAGAGACAACTTGGTTACTGTTGCTAGTCACAAATTTAAGATGTCTGTTTCATGTTTTGATTTATTTGAAGAATTCAAAGTTGTCTGGTGAGATTTGCAAGTCTCTTCAGACAGCATTTCCGCCTACCACGTTCATTCACCACTTGATTTTGTAGTTCACGGCATGATTGGCAGGGGTATGCAAGAATTTATTCATGGGAAAATACAATCTTTCTTGAGTTTTGGATGCAAACAGCATTGATTCTGGCTGAAACTTCCATTGATGCACTTGGGGAAGAGGTGTAGTTGAAGTATATACGCCCGATTAATACCAAGGATTATGTTAGGAACATCTTTCTTTTTTCCCCAGCTGGTAGTTGGTGGTTGGCTTTTCATTTTTAAGCACAACCCCTTTTAGGAGAAGCACGGTAGCCTGCAGTTGGCCGTTTCAGCAGCAGCATGTTCCCAGTTGTGTATTTCAAGTGCTTTTTTTTTCTTCAAGCAAGACCATTGCAGCCTGTCCAGATCTTGCCTAGGTAGGCAAACGTATTTATAAGCAGGAGAAATATCTTGAAATTATCTTTATAGCTGTACTTTACTGTGTGTCTCTTGCTCAGCTTAAAGTCCCGAATTTGTGTGTTCTAAATCAGAGCGTATTCATAAATAGCTGAAGAAAAAACTCTCGTAGCAAACATCTGGGAAATAGAAAATCAAATTAGGAACAGCTTTTTTATCAGTACCCACATGCCACCTATAGATGGGGTGCAGTGAACTTGGATAAGAACCAGTGTGAGCCTTCGGGCAGGAAAAGAAAGCAGGAGATACATGGTAGGAATGGAGGTGAAGCCGCTGGTTTCCTCTGGCTGGTCTAAGTGCACAGTTTCCATCAAATGCTTTTGCTTTTCTTGTCTTTAAATTGTAGCCTTTCTCGGAGGGCTTTACGGGTATGGAATGTAATGGGAGAGTTATCAGAGCATCATGATTTGGCCGTTAAAGCAGTGTAATATGGGTTAGTAAGCTCCCCCCTCGCCCCCCCTCCCAGGACTGAAATGGTATTTTGAAGAGTTTTTGATACTTGAGCTTAGTAAAACACCTGTCTACCTTGAGGGATCTTTTTACCTGAGGCAAAAGGGGTAATAGGTTACTCATTTTGAAAATCTATCTGTTCTTGAAAGTGAGGAAATACTAGTGAGCTGCCTGAAAGGGCAATTGTCTGGAAATTGACACTGGTTTAAAAGTGCTGTGTTTGGTCATCAAAAGTAGCTTAAAAGGGATTGCTCACTTACTGCAGGCTTTGCAAAGAACTGTGTGCAGGTGTGGATATAGCTCCCTATCCCCCAGCCGTAATGGTAAATGCAGGGTCGTCTTCTGTTTGCAGATTGTGGAAGACATTGAGTCTTTGAATTTATGGTCTACTCCCGGTGGTAGTTTAGCATTACAACTCCTTTCAAAGACATGTTGACTTTGTAGAAAATTTAGACTGTGAAACTGTTAACTGAAAATCAAAGGTGTTTGTTTGTTTGTTTGTTTTGAACTTGAATGAAATCTGCAGTGCAGTCCTAAACAATATAGGAACCCACATTCCAGATTTTCTACTTCTATTAGGGTAACTAATTGCTTTGCAGACTCATGGAATAGGAGTGCTGGGCAAGAAGGACCAGAAACTCCCCTTTCCCGACCCTACTACCTGTTGCAAATGAGTTTGGACGAAGTGTTTCCATGATCTTCAGCACCAAAACTTTAGGTTTCTTTAAACATTTCAAATAAATGTATTAGAGTAATGACAATGAGCAAATGATGGAGATAATGTACATTTCCTCATGAGTGTGGAAATGTCTTTCTTTGGCTTATAGTCAGCTTGTATGTGAACACTAATGAGAGTTATAGCTTACTTGACTTACCCTGAAACCATTGATTCAGAAATGGCTTTTCTGTTCCCATCACCTTTACCCGTGACTCCTTTTAAGGGAGGGATAAGAATGTGATAGGAATGTAAATGCCCCAGACTTGAGATAAATCATTTGGATCCTGTCCGAACTTGGTTCATAAACTTTGGTTCCAGAGAGTGGTTTTGGGAAGCCAGATCTGATCCGCAGTAGAGGCTCCCTTTCTGGAGAGATTTCATATGTAGCGCAACCCAATCCTTGTTCCTTTTTTTAAACACATGCACAACGTGGTATAGCTAATTCCCATGATAGGACTGATGAAAAGATACAGTTGAGAGAAGTGGAGCCTCGTCATAGCGTCCCTGTACCAGAAAGGGCTTGAGGGTTATCGTTCACGGTGTCCCTCTACTTTTTGTTTTCAGCCTTGAACTTAAAAGCGAAAACAGAAGCAAGTTTTAGTGATGGTCATGTTTGTCAGGCTGTGACGTTGCTACTTGAAAATGAACACAGCAGTCACTTTTAATTTTAGCCTGTCTCAGAGAGCTTTACATTTATGGGATGTAGTAGGACAATTAGCAGCGCGTCATGATTTGGCAGTTAGAGTTGTGTAACATGGGCTTGGAAGTCCTGCCCTGCCACCCCTGCTCCCCAAAGGAAGAAGATTCACGCTGTCGGAGTAAGAGGAAAGTTCTTCCGCTCCAGAGAGGACGTTTGTTAAAGTTACCTGCACGCATGCGCAGGCGCCCCCCCCCCGCCTGTACGCACGTACCCCCTGTACGCACGTGCACGTGTACTCCCCATACACACGTTCGTGTACCCGCCCATACAGAGATGCTTTTGCCTTTTGTTGGGCCAGTGAAAACTGCACTAAGTACCAGGGCGTGGGAGTCACGGACCGGCTCAGCTAACCCTTCTTCGATGCTCGGATCCCTTTATACTCGTACACTGGGCATAGAGGTCTCCCAGCAGCACCTGAACATCGCCAGGAAGGCGAGCCCACCTTCCTGATGCTTTTGACCACACTAAAGTGTCTTGTGTCTACAAAATTGAGTCTAATTCTACCTCCTCATTTGAATCCTGCTCCCTGGTGGTTCACAGAGCAAACCCTTCCATGGAGGTGTTTCAGTTACTCACTGAACGGTGCCTGTCACAGTTGGGCAGGGCACCGAAGTGTCCTCTCACAACCCCTGTCGAGTAGGCAGGCGGTCCTTCCTGCCCAGCGAGTCCCACCTGCACTGCAGTGCAAGTCTGCGTCTGTCTTCCGGTGGCCATGCTGCTCTCACTCGGCGAGTTTGCTCTGCACTGAACCCCGAGGCCTCACTCACGTGCTGCCCCTGAGCCCGGTCTGCCCTTCCTGTGCCAGTCTCCTTGCAGGGCCTGACACGCACCATGCCTCTTGGTGCCGCGTTCTTCCCACGGTGGTTTTTGGAGTTTTGATTCTCTCATGTAGCACCTTTGCCTGCCCTCCCACGGAAATGCTGCCTGCCCATTAGGTCAGACTGCTCTTTATAACTTCACCTTAGTTGGTGATAAATGGTTAAACTGGCTGAACCGTGAATCATGTCTCTGGAAGCTTCCTTCCAGGTTTACAAGGAGTCACATTCCTTTGGTTATAGTACAGTGTTAATGCACTTAGTATTTTATAACTAGTCTGTCTCTCCACCTGTTCCACACGGGTATGCTGCAAGACCACACCACTCCTCCTCCTTTGGTTCTACTGACCGACTTAGTCTAAGAAGGAAATGAGGTCAGATTTCGTGTGTCCCTGGTGACTGGAACCATACTGTGCGTGTGCTTGGTGATTGAGAAATATTTAATGACTGTCTGAATGCCTAGGGTCACCCTGTGATC